CCCGGGCACCAGGGAATTGGGTGCACTGCCCCCCTCGCCAGCCAAGGCGAGCTCTGGATGGGGCCCCAAACAGCCCCAAAAGCCAACCGAAGTGGCCAGCGAAGACCATACGGCTCCGAAACACACCTCCACCCCCTAAAACGAATGGACCGTTTCAGATATCCCACAATCTGAACGCGAACGGGCCCGTAATACACCCTTCGTCGGCAGAGCACCGGCCCGCATCACCAGGCACGATCGAGCCGCGCCCAGCCACTGGCGACGAGAAGTGTCCCAAGAGCATTGAAAACAAGAGTACTTATCTGACAGCAATACGAGCAGTATCCTTCCTCCCCCTCGTCCTCAGTCATCCTGCTACTCCTCCTCTCCCTCCTCCTTCACTTCGCACTCCCCGACGGTTGCTCGGAATTGCGGGGGCGTCCCATGCGAAAATGGCTGGACCCCTCGCACGCGGCATCTCTCTGCCCACAATTGCGGAGACCTCTCAAGCGAAATAGACAGGATCAACTCGCGGGCGGCACCTTGAAGCCTAGTGCAGCGACGATGTCTCAAGCGAAACAGACGAAGCAACATCAGGCCACGGTATCCTCGAGCCGAAAAAGTTTGAGGATGTTTCAGACGATATGGGCCAGACCACCTCTCGCGTACCGTCTGGGAGCCCAGAGTTGCGAGGATGTCTCAAGCGAAACGGGCCAAACCATGTCAAATCTGGTCGTCTCAGAACGCAGACTTGTAAAGATATCTCATGTGGAACTTGCCGAACCACCTCAACATATTGTCAATGTCTCGACGCGCGGGCCTCTCGGGCGGCATTCGTTCTTACCACCACGATGCCCCCGGGCACCGGCCGGGCGACCCGGGAACACTCCAAGACAAAACAATTTGAACGGAAGCAACAAGGAAATTTGATCCATACATATATGTATGTATGTATATACATACATACATACATACATACATACATACATACATACATACATACATCTACATATACCTATACACACACACACTAGAACCATCGCGCGCGCGCTCAGCCAGGCTGCCAGGCGAACTCGGACAAAAAGAAAATGTAGGAATTCCCTTGTTTTCAAATGCCCTCGGGGCCTCTCTTGGGGCTCTGCTAGGTTTCTTTGGGGTTTCTCAAGGGCCTCTTGAGGCCTCCTGGGGGTCTCCTAGGGCGAAGATCTCGGATTCTCGGTTCACGTTCCCGGTCCTGGGCCGCGGTTGGGGCAGGCCGTCTTGGACGTCTCTTCGGCCGTTGTGGGGCCGCCTTGGGGCGCTTTTGAAGCCTATTGGGCCGTCTTGGGGCGATCCTCGGAGCCTCTCGTGGCGTCTTGCAGCGTCGGGAAGCGGAAGAGGCGGAAACGCAAATTGTTCACAAACTCTTGGAAAATCACTGTTTGTTTGCCTCGTCGAGCTCTGTTGGGAGACCTTTTGGAAGCCTCTTGGGTATATTGGGGGCCTTTGGGGCCGTCTGGAGGCCGTCGTAAGCGTTCCATCGACCCATCCCGCCACCGTGCCTGGGTTGTGGGTTGGAGGCCTCTTGAAGTTCGTTCGGACATCGTGGGAGGCCTCTCGGGGGCCCCTTGGAGGTAGGTTTGGAGGCCTCATGGAGGCGTTTGGGGGTCTCTTTTTGGGCCTCCTGGGGCCTCCAGGGGACCGCTTGGGGCGGAAGGCTCGAATTGTCGGTTCGTGTTCCCCCTCTTGGGCCCCTCCTGGGGCCAGCTTGGGGCCCTCTTGCGCGATCTTGGGCGCCTCATGGGCCGTTTTGGGGCCCTCTTGGGCCTTCTTGGGGCCCTCTATGCATATGGGCCTTCTTGCGGGCCTCTTGGGCCGTCTTGGGGCGGTTTGGGGTGCCTCTGGGGCGGTCTTGGAGCGTCGGAAGCTTATAACGCGAGAGCACGAAAATCATTTGAAACATACAAAGGAAAGCGCTGATGTTTGCTGCCTATTTGGGCCCTCTTGGGGGTCCTCTTGGAGCGCTCTTAGGGCTTCTTTGGCGCCTCTTGGGCCGTCTTGGGGCCATCTTGGGCGTCTTGGGGCGTTCTCGGGCTGTCTTGGAGGCCGCCTCTTGGACCCTATTGGGCGCTTTCTGGAGCCCTCTTGTAAAGTCTTGGGGCCCCCTTGGCCTCTCTGGGCCGTCTCTGGGAAACGAACCGGAAGGGTATTACAAATTGTTCTCGGATGGTTGCGGACTGGGCCATTGCAGGAGAGGGGGTCGTTTTATGTATTCTAATGATAACTATATACAAATTCTGTGTATGTATAGATATATGTATATATATGTATATATATGTATATATATGTATATATGTATACACATATATATATATATATATATATATATATATATAGATGTGTATATATATATATATTATATATATATATATATATATATATATATATATATACATATATCGCCCACGAACATCCAGCATCCAACATTCGACCAGACCAGCCACGTCACGTGTATTCAAAAATAGATCGGGGGTCAGCAGTGCATAATTGACCCACAGACAAGCGGTTGAGCCACCGAACGCGGGAGGCGGCACATCGCCCTCCCCCCCCCCGCAGGGCGACGAGCGTGACGGCGATGAAAACGTCGTGGGACCTGCCTCCTTCAGCAGATCAAACCGAAGGTTTTCGTGCTGACCGGCGTCCAGGGGCCGCTCTTCGGGCCCCCCGGGGGGCCGGAAGAGCTGCAACAGCGGCTCCCGGGAAGGGCACCTCGGCCGAAAGGCCTTGAGACGGAGGGGCCCCCCCCTGCTCGGGAGCACTCGCTCGGCGAGTGGGCACGGCCAGCTGCCTCCCTCCTTCCTTCCTCCTCCCCCTCCTCCCCACATCGGCAGGGGCGGGCGGGGCCCCCTGATTCCTGATCGTTTCTTCCCCAGACGGCATGCCGACCGCCACTTCCCCACGCGGGGGGTGAGCGGCCCAGGAAGACAAAATCTTGCCTGGGAGCACTGGAGGGCGCGAGTGACATCTGGACAATGAGGCGCGCTGCGACAGCGCGGGGCTGGAGAGGAACTCCTCCAGGGCCTTGTCTAGCTGGCGGCCGAGGGCGTGCCAGGAGAAGTTTTGGTCGGGGGGGAGGCCGTAGCACGCGCTGAAGTTTCCAGCGTACTGTTTTCTTCTCCTTGCGACAGCCCGGTCGATCTTGACCCTACCTGGTGGGGATACGCGAAGTGTCAAGAATTACTCGTCCTCGTCGTCCGTTGCTATCTCTCCCCTTGTCTCCCTTCTCCCACTCTGCGTGCCCCTTTTCTCTCTGTCTCTCTCTCTCTCTCTCTGTATCGTTTCGTCTCTCGCTTTCTCTCTCTTTTTCTTTCTTCCTCTCGTCGTCGTCGTCCTCCTCCTCCTCCTCCTCTTCCTACTCCCCCTCCTTCTCCCCTTCCCCCTCTTTCCCACCCCCCAAAATGGCCCCAGAAGGTCGAGCATGGTTCAAGACGCCTCCGACGGACATCCATTAGGCTTCAAAACAGCAGCAAGACGGTCCAAGATAGCTGAGCATGGTTGAAGGTAGCCTCCGACAGCCTGTAGCCGAACCTGGCTCACGATAGCCTCCAAGAGGCCTCGAAACAGCCTCCGATCGTGTCTGGATGGGTTGGTGGGGATACTTTTGTTTAGCAGGCGCGCGAAACAAGTCGAACGCCGAGCGTGCTACGGCGGGCCGCGTCGGTAGCAAACGAAAAAGCAGTGAGGGCAACGGCCCGCGAGCCGCGGTGCCGGCCAGGCAAGCGTGCCGAAGACGAAGGCCACGTGGCCGCGGCGAGCACGGGGACCAAGGAAATGGAGCGGAAGAGGCGTGCAGGGAACAAACCGCGTGCCAGTGGCGGACGCAGCCAATCTGGCGCGAGAAGGCGGCCAAGTGGCAGAAGATGAACACCGTGAAGTAAATACACCGGGAAGTGGGCAGACCATATGGGAAGTGGACCAGCAGGAACAGGGTGCCGTGCCAGCCGGCAGCGACGCCCAGTAGCCGAGACCGAGCACCCCAGAGTACCACCCTTGCCGTACCGGTAGAACTTCTGATGGCCGCACACCGACACCAAGAGCCCCGAGAGCGTGAACCAGAAGATGAAGCAGGTCGGCGCGACCTGACGCTGGTGGATACGTTTTGATCGCCAGCGCAAACGGAAGGGCCGCGCGCCGTCCGGAGCTACAGCTAACCAGCAGGAGCCTAAATTGCACACATCTCTGGTGGGGATACTTTTTTTTGGTCGCGGGCAGACGCGTGAAGCTGTCGCCGAGAGGGGGGTGCGGGGCGCGGGCCAGCCTAATTAGCTACTGAGCGACGCGCAAGACGGCCGGGCCAGCGCTCAGAAGCGGCGGCTGAGGGGCAGCTGCTGGGTCTGGTGGGGATACGCGAGGTGTCAAGAATTACTCGTCCTCGTCGTCCGTTGCTATCTCTCCCCCTTCCTCCCTTCTCCCTCTCTGCTTATTCTTCTCTCTCTCTCTCTCTCTGTATCGTTCTCTCTCTCTCTCTCGTTCCCTCGTCGTCGCCCTCCTCCTCCTCCTCCTCGTCGTCGTCGTCCGCCGTGGTCCAAGTCGTCCGACGTCGTCGTCCGACGTCCGTCGCCTCCGTCGTACAGTCAAAGCTTCGGCACAGAGTGCGTTGGGTCTGGAACGAAGCCTGTCGGGCCTCGGTTGCGCCCAGCTGCGTGAGAGACGGCAAGGAAATACTTGTGGAAGGACCAAGGAACATCGAGCCGCGATCGAAACTAAAGTGGGCCTTACCATGAATACGGATCGCTTACTTTCTGCACCAACACCGGTCCTGGGCCCATCCCGGACGCAGGAAAGGTGTATGAACATTCCTGGCTTGGCCAGAAGGCGGTTTCACCAATCCCCGTCCCAGGATGGGCCTCGGCAGGATCGGTGTTCGTAGTTGGCAATCCCCGGAAGGACCTAAGGTACACCGAGGCCCTTACGGAACTGAGGTGGACCTTGTCGCATAACCTCGACTGCGACCGATCTGACCCGAGGGGCGCACCGCAGGCCTTGGCGGCGCGCGTGAGCCTGTCGCCACTCTCGCCGACGCTGATGTTGAGGGTCAGCTTCTCCACCTCGGGGGCCCACTCGGCAAGAGCGAGGAGGGAGAGGGAAGGGAGGGGGAGGGGAAACGAGGAGGAGGGAGGATGAGGAGGATCGATGGGCATCGAGGTATTGAGGTGAGAGGGTATCGAGGATCGAGGGATCGGGGATCTCGAGATCGAGGAAGAGAAGGATCGAGAGAGTGATGACGAGGGAAGAGGAGGCGGAGGAGAAGGAGAAGAAAAGGAGGAGAAGGAGGATGACCGAGGATGCAGTAGGAGGAGGAGGAGGAGGAGGAGGAGGAGGAGGAGGAGGTCCGAGAATCGAGGTTTTGAACGTTGCTGTATCTTGTTGTGGGCCTCCAGAGGCCTCTGGAGGCATTCTTGGAACCTCTTGAACGAGATCCCTCGGAACCTCTGGAAGGATGGCTGAAACCTAGAGGACGATGTCGACAACGAGTCCATGGCCAACCTTCAAGCGAATGGCACCACGTTGCCAGAACTTCATCTCCGTGTCAATCTCTGGCTCCAGCCCAGCTCCAGCCCAGCTCAGATCCCGTTCAGCTCCAAGTTTTGGCCCCAGCTTGGAGATATCGACAGGTACCGATACCGCTTCTGACCGGACCTCTCCCGGAGTGCGTTCTGACCAGGATTTCGAAGCGAATCCGACGGTGGCAACGAGGGCCTCCCCGGAGGCCCAAAAAGGGGAAAACGAAGCAAGGGTAGCGGTAAGGGTACCTTTTCCTCGTCTGACAGCTCCAGATTCGCTCCAGCTCCAGCCCAAGCCCTCCCTCCAGCTGAAGCTCCAGCCCAGCTCGAGCTCCAGCCCTGGCTCCAGCTCTGGTCCAATCTCCGAGCTCCAGGACCATTTCCCTGGCCGACCTCCTGCCCAGCTCGGACCTCGATCTCCAGCTCTGATTCGGCTCCCGCTCCAGCACCAGCTCCAGCTCGAGCTCGAGTCCAGCTCCATCTCAACCTTGTACCCCAGCTCCTTTCGCTCCAGCCCGAGCTCCAGCTCCTGCTCCGGAGAAGCCCGGAGAAGCTCCAGCCCAATTCCCAGGTCCAGCCCAGGTCCAGGTCCAGCCGCCAGCCATCGCTCCAGCTCCGAGCCCTAGACCTAGCCCAAGCTCCAGGTCCAGCCGGAGCCCCAGACGCTGCTCGTGATCCAGTCCCAATTCCAGCCCAACACCAGCCGCAGCCTCAGCCCCAGCTTCAGGTACTGCTCAGCTCCTGCCGAGTTCTTGCCCCCGCTCTAAACTCCAGCTCCATGTCCAGCCCAGCATCAGCTTCACCCCTAGCTCCAGCTACAGCTGTAGCTCCAGCCCAGCTCCAGCCCCAGGTCAGCCGAACTCTCAAGCCCCAGCTCCCAAGCTCCAGCCCCAGCTCCAGCTCCAGCCCAGCTCCAGCCTCGCTCCAGGGCCAACGCCAGCAATTCCGGATACAGCCCCAGTTCCAGGTTCCGCTCCACCTCCACTCTATCGCTATCTAGCACCAGCTCCGGCCCCAGCCCAACTCCAGCCACGGCCACAGCCCCAGCTTCGGCCCCATCTCCAGCTCCAGCTCCAGCCCCAGCTCAAGCTCCGGATACAGCTTCGCTGAAGCTTCGCAAGAGCTCCAGTCCCAGCCCCATCCCAAGCCCAAGCTTCGATCCAGCTCCAGCGTCAGCTCCAGCCCCAGCTCCAGCCTCAGGTCCAGGTCTGGCCGAGGTTCAGCTCCAGCTCCGTCCCAAGCTCCAGGTCCAGCCCCAGTTGCCACTCCAGCTACAGCGTCCCTCCAGCTCAAGCCCCAGCTCCAGGTCAAATTAGCCCAGCTCCAGCTCCGCTCCAGCCCCAGCCCCAGCCCCAGCCCCAGCTCAGACCCAGAACCAGGCTCAGCTCCAGCTTCAGCTCCGGCCAGGCTGCAGCTACACAGAACCAGCTCCGCACAAGAGCCATCTCCTGTCCCAGCCCCAGCTCCAGGACCAGCTCTAGCTTCATACCAGCTCCTGCCAATCTCGAGCTTCAGCGTCAGCCCCTGCCCAGGGGAAACTACAAGGTACCCATACCGCTGGTCCCTGGACCTCTCCAGGGGTGCGTCCTGGCCAGAATTTCGAGGCGAATCCAGCGGTGGCGACGAAGGGCCTCTCAGGAGGCCCACAAAGGGGAACACGCCGGCAAGAGCAGCGGCATCGGCACCTTTTCCACCACTGACTTCAGCCCCTGCCCCAGGTCACCAGGTCCAGATTCAGTTCCAGCTCCAGCGGCAGCCCAGCTCCAGTCCCAGCCTCGGCCGCAGATCTCCAGTTCCGGCTCCAGTTACACCTCTCGGACGCCAGTGCTCCAGGGGCCCAGGGACACATAAAATAGACACAAATCCCATGATTCGCCATATGGTCGCATATGTTCTGGAGTTTCGTCTTCCCCACCCTTCCGATATTTTCCCATAATGTTCTGGGAATCGACGTTTATTTGTGTCTGTGTGTGTGCTCTGCTCCCCTCCTGAATTATGATCGTGACCCGGGACTGCGTAGCTCAAATCTCGCAGCTGAGAAGGCCCTCAACTCCAACGTCACGAAAAAAACACGACGGCAATGCTGCACGACGTCAGACCGTTGAGAGGCCCAGCTCGGGTCACGGGGTCATCAAGACATAACCGCGACGCGGAATCAGCACTGGGGTTTGGGGCGAGAGCTCTGGGCATTGCGGAGGACGGGAAGCACGGTGAAGATATCTCAATAGCAGCCCCGGGACCTCTCCTAGTGTGTTCTGGCAAGAAATATAGAGGTGCGGATCCGGCCGCGGCCATGAGAGCGTGCCAGGAATGCCCAAGAATAGACACAGACACACCCACACACACGACTAAACCCTGGGCACTGATCCTCGCCGAAACCGATCCTCGATCCTCCTCGATCCCTAATCAGCAAAAACGCACTGGCTGATCCTCCCAGATCCTCGATCCTCCTCCCCGAGGATACGCAACACTCGAGCTTGGTGGACTCGACTATGCCTCCTGGACCGTTGGAGGAATGGTGGGACCAAGACGGAAATGTTGCGCGAGCTCGCGCTGCAAGCGTCTCACGAAAGCTGGAACGCCAGAGCCCATGCCATGGCCGCCAAAGAAACTGAGGCCGAGGCTGCCCGAATTGCGGCAAGCAGAACGCTTCCCCGAACCTCCCTCAGGGCCGAGGAGAAAGCGCGGACCGCGGACCTTGATCTGCCGCATGGGGTTGTCCGACTTGTCCGGCATGCCTGGGGAAGGTCTCGCCCTGCGCGCTCGCAGCGTGCTCTGGGGACCTCCTCCTCCTCCTCCTCCTCCTCCTCCTCCTCCTCCTCCTCCTCCTCCTCCTCCTCTTCCTCCTCCGCATAATCAGCACCATCATCCCTCTACTACTCCTCCTTCCTCCTCTCCAGCTGTCTCTCCCTTCTCCTCATACTCCTCTGCCTCTCTCCTCCTGCTCGTCACCCCTCACCTTCTCCAGTCCTTCCCCGCCCCCCGCTCCCGGCGCATGAGAGATGGAAATGACGGGAGACATGTTCTCTCTCCCGAAGCTCTGCCGCCAGATATCGGTTGCCTCTGTGCGGTCTCTGGCGGGAGTCCCATCAGGGCCTCTGACGATGGGGAGGGCTTGGATGGTGAGTAGTTTTTTGGAGCCAGCTACCATCGACCTGAGGGTCGCAAAAACTTTGTCTGCGGCTTTCGTGGACCATTCTGGACTGCAACTGGCAATGCAAGCCACGATAGTGCATGAGAGCATTGCTCGACGATGAATTTGTCCTGCTGAGCACAGAGTACTGCATACTGCCTGTCGGCATCCGGCGGCTGCGATGTCCTTGGCATAGAGAGGGTCAAACACAAAAGAGTGACACAGGTTGTTGGCGTAGCGCACACGGGGTAAGGGGGGGAGGGGAAGGCTTCTTAGAAGGAGGCTGCTTCTCAGAAGGCGCTGGCCCAACATCTGCAGATAAAGCTCGCGCCGTCTAGGAAGCACGTGTGCTTCTAAGAAGCCCTCCCCCATTCCCCTAGCCCCCTCTGCGCGTGGCTGAAGGTTCGAGACGGGGCGACTGGCAATCTTCATCCATTCGGCACGCTTGCGCTTGGTGAGGTGCTCAGCCTGCAGTGCCCTCTCCTCCCGGTGACACATGTTTGTTCCGTGACGTGAACTCCCTTGATGGGGTTATCTCAACCCCTTCCCTGGGGCCGTGGCCAGGAACATGGCGTCAAGACGCCGAACTATTGGAACTAGCCTGGAGAAGGACCCTATCATATGCAGTTGTGAATACCGTCGTTGTTAATATCGCCTTCGGTGGATCTCCCACTGGGGCAACGAAGCGCGTGAAGAGTGCCGCAATGGGGCGGGGCCGCCATGCGGGCGCTGCTACTGGGACCTGATGTAAGGCCCCCTTTATGGGGCTACAAAACGTGTGGGGGATGTGCCGAAATGGCGCGGGGACGCCATGCGGGCGCTGCCACTGGGGCCTTCGGTGAAGCTCCAGAGAGGGCTAAACAACATGTCAAACATTTCGCGAGGGTCCTGTCCTTCTGCGCGACCGACCTACGTGCGACCGTCCGAAAGCGCGCAAAGTGAGTACCCCAACGAGCCCCCCAAAAAACATTTCGAACATTTCACAATGGTCTTGTCCTTCTACGCACTCGAACAACTCCACAACAACTTCCCTCCACTACCGCTCATACCTCACCAGTGGCCAACGTGCGACCCTCCGGACACGCGCGTGCAAAGCCAACGCTCCAACGAGCGCAAGCCTCAATTCCAAAGATTTCGCCAAGGTCCTGCCATTCTACGCCACCGACCTACGTGCGACCGTCCGACAGCGTCTGCGCAAGGCGAACACCTCAAGGAGCCCCCCAAAACCATTTTAACCATTTCGCGATGGTCCTGTCCTTCCACGCACTCGAACACACTCAACGAATTTCCACCCACCCCCGCGCTTTCCTCCCCACAGGCCAACGTGCGACTGTCCGAAAAGGCACGCGCAAAGCGAACGCTCCAACGATCGCCACACACACTTCAAACATTTCGCGAAGGTCCTGTCCCTTTGCGCCGCCGACATACGTGCGACCGTCCGACAAAGCGTGCGCAAAGCGAACACTCTGTGTCGAAGCAGCGCGGACGTGACCAAATTCATTGCCAGCATACTTCGATCGGCGATAGGCTGCGCGACGGGGGTAGAGGAGGAGCAGGGCGGAGCTCCCTATGGGGCCACGAAGCGTGCGAGGGGTGTGCCAAAATAGGGCGGCGCCGCCATGCGGACTGCGCCACTGGAGCCTGAGGTGGAGCTCCCTATGGGGCCACGAAACATGTGAGGGCGTGCCAAAATGGGGCGGCGCCGCCATGCGGACTGCGCCACTGGGACCTGAGGTGGAGCTCCCTACAGAGCCACGGAAACATGTGAGGGGTGTGCGAAACTGGGGCGGAGCCGCCATGCGGACTGCGCCACTGGAGCCTGAGGTGGAGCTCCCTACAGGGCCACGAAACATCTGAGGGGTGTGCCAAAATGGGGCGGCGCCGCCATGCGGACTGCGCCACTGGGACCTTCGGTGGAGCTCCCTACGGGGCCCTGAAAAGTGTGAGTGGTGTTCCAACATAGGGCGACACCGCCATGCGGACTGCGTCACTGGGACACTGGGTGGAGCTCCCTGTGGGGCCACGAAACGTGTGAGGGGTGATGACGATGATGATGAACACGGTGATGATGACGACGACGATGATGATGCTGATGATGATGATGATGATGATGCTGATGGTGGTAATGATGGTGAGACATATGCTTTTGATGATGATACGGATGACGATGATGATTGTGATGATTGTGATGGTGAAGATGATGAGGATACTGATGATACTGATGATGATGATGCTGATGATGATGATGCTGATGATGGTGACGGCCATGATGTTGATGATGACGACGATCACGATGACGATGACGATAATGATGGTGATGATGGGAGGAGGGAGGGAGGAGGGGGAGGAGGGGGAGGAGGAGGAGGAGGAGGAGGAGGAGGAGGAAGAGGAGGAGGAGGAGGAGGAGGAGGAGGAAGAAGAAAGACGCGCGGCGCTCTCGTAAAAGCGGGGACCCAACACCACAGGATAGTTGGGAAAAAAAACAAGCCGCCGCGATGTGTTGTTGCGACGCCAGATCCTTTTTATGCTGAGGCGAGAGGAATAGGGGAATAGAGAGAGAGAGAGAGAGACGATTGGAGCGGACAGCATGCGTGAAACTCCAGCCGCCTCAACCTGACGCACGATACGAACATATGCTGCACACGTGGGGGCAAACATTGAGTGAACAGCCCTGGGCGCAAACAATCAGTGCACGCCCCCGCGTGCTACACCTGCCGCAAGGGCAGGGCGACCAACGGAGTGAAAGCAAGCCTCGAGAGGGAGGAGGAGAAGGAGCGGGAAGGAAGGGGGAGAGGGAACGTCGAGGCCCACTTCCTGCGACGCCCACATCCGCGGGGACGCCAACGCCCTCCCCTGCCGCCCTCCGCCCGGGCAGGGGGCGGGGCCGCGCCCGCCTCTGGGGCCGAGCGCGGGACTAACCGCGCGGCGGGGCCGGCGGGTGGGGGGGGCCGCGGCCACGGCGCCCGAGAATACGGTCCCTGGGCGGGAGGGCCAGGGGAGGGAACCGAGCGAGCGACCACCGCATCGAGCAAGCGTCTGGGCCCAGCTCAGACAGACGAGTGGATGAGGCCGTGGCCTCTGGATTCTGGCGCGTCTGGACACATGCCTCGCGAGGCATCAAAAAGAAGGAGGAGAAGAGGAGGAGGAGGAGCAAACGAAGTCGCTGGTGTCGGTGCAGGCACGTGTGTCGTCTCGACTTCTCGTCATTGGTCTTGGATGCTGGCTCGCGTGAGGAGGATTCGGGGAGGGAGGTCAGCACGAAGGGAACGTTAGGATGCAACTCCTGGGGATCGATAATGGGGCTGTGGGGCATGATCGAAGAACAAGAACTAAGCAAACTTAGGCCAAATGGAGTCGCGGGATTGAGCCGGACTGACCGCAACAATTGCTAAGCTGGACTAGCCGGGAGTAGCCCGGAGTAGCTGGACCGGCCGAGTCATGGAGAAAAGGGGTCATGGAAGCATTTCTCGTGTTCGGTCCCTCAGGGCACTCCACGGGCCCAGGGACTTCCACAAAAAGGCGCGGGATGACGAGGACTGGTTCTGGGAAAGGTGCAGATGGACTACCTGCAGCTCGGCGCCGTGGTCACAGCTGAGGAGCTGGCGGCCTCAGCCGACAGCATGGCGTGGTTGGCGCCAGCGGATCAGCAGATCGACCAGGCCGTCCTGATGCCGCCGCTGGTGGACCCAGTCGCTGGCGACGGCGTGGAGGTGCTGCTCCACGTGCTGGTGGTGGCGCACCGCCAGTCTACTGCAATACGCGCGGTCTTGGGGTCGAAGGGTATGCATCCCTTCATGTTCATAGCAGCGAGTGCGGCCATCGACGCCTAGGGCATCGCGGAGTGCATCCTGCGCAACGACCAGGAGCCAGCAGTCCAGGCGCTGGCCGAGCAGATCTCCGAGGAGCGGAAGCTGAAGGGCTTCAAGTGCCAGCTCACGGCAGCGCCTGCCGGGAGCCACTCGTCGATGGGTTTCATTGAGGCCATGAACGACCAGGTGGCCAAGCAGGAGCGGGCGATCAAGCTCCAGCTCGAGTCGGACATGGGCGCGCGCATTCCCGTATTCCACAGGGTGATGCCATGGGTGATCAGGCACGCTGGGTGGCTCCTCACACGGTTTGCTGTCAGGCAGGCCGCTGGCAAGACGGCCTACCACGTCAATCGGGGCAAGCCGTGCCGCGGGGAGGTGGCCACGCCCGGAGAAGTTGTCCGGGCCCGCGTGCCAGGCGACCGCACGCAGAAGGCAGAGGCTCAGTGGCGCTTAGGTGTCTGGCTGGGCAAGACCGAGAAGAGCGACGAGCACCTGGTCGGCGGGTCGCGGCAGACCAGCCGCCATCGGGCGATCAGGAGGCAGCCGAAGGAGCGGAGGTTCAACGTAGATGCGCTGAACAGCTTCGCGGGCCTGCCTTGGGACCTCCCGTCCAAGCCTGAGCGCGCAGCCACCGCTGTGGGGCAGCCCTGGGGCGGCGCCGAGTCCCACCACGAAGACAACGTGGCGAGGGCGCGCCAGGCGCAGGCTCAGCAGCGCCAGGCCGAGGAGGCGCATCCAGCGGCAGCGGCAGCAGCAGCAGCTCCAGTGGCGGAAGAGCCAGCACGCCCACCTCCAGGACCTCTGGACGCTCCGCCAGCACCCCTACCCGAGCCGAGGCTCGGACGGGCCACCTTCGTGACGAAGAGGATGGTGCAGACCTACGGGCCCACCTTGAACTGTCCAAGGTGCTGGGGTGGCGAAGCGCCGCACTCCCACGAGTGCAGGAAGCGCATGGATGGGGAAGCTCTTGGACGAGGCGAATCGGCAGGCAGCGGTTCACCCGTTGCCAGGCGGCGCAATCACAGCCCCAGAGATGGAGGTGGACGCGGCAGCGGTCGACCCCGCAGCCGCGATGGCAGCAGCAGAAGGTGGTGCAGCAACAGCGGCGAGTTCATCCCAGCCACCTCCTGCGGAGGGCGGCTCAGCGGGCGACTCCGCGGGGATGGACGTGGACTCGAGGAGCCGACCAGCAGCTCCCGCGGACAGCGAGCCACGGTCGAAGGCGCCCATGGTGGCCAACCTCGTGGTACCCGTGGACGTCAGTGAACCTGCCTACTCGGGACTCGACGGCGAGGACTGCGAGCGGCTGCAGCTGTTCGCGGCGTCCGTGTGTGATCGGGAGGCTCCGACAGCATGGGCGTACGACCTCGTGCCAGAGGCGGTGGTGTGCGATAGCCGTTCGGGCGAGGTGCTGCCGAGGGAGCTCGTGGTGCAGGGACGCCAGCAGGAGCTCAACCAGATGGCCGCGTTCGGCGTCTACGAGGACGCGTCCGATGACTCGAGCGTAGGCATGCGCATACGGAGCAAGTGGCTTGACGGACTCCGGTACAGGCCAGATGGGACGCCCTTCGTACGGTCGAGACTCGTGGCCATGGACTTCAACCTCTTCGAGCGCGACGACGTGGCGGCAGGTACGCCGTACCCCTTCTACTTGCGCTTGGTGGTTTCCCTGGCTGCCTCGAAGCCCCCGTAGGGGTAGAAGCAAGCGGCTCTGTACGATGCCAGCGTGGCGTTCTTCCACGCGGACATGGACGAATGGTTGTGCGTGATGCCTCCGCCTGGGCTGCGAAGACGCTCTACGGTACAAGACCTGCGTCAAGGTTGTGGCAGGCGTACGTCGGCGACGTATTCGAGAAGAGTCAGCCACCATGGGCTCGGATCACGCCATGCCCTGATGCCTTCTACACCGAGACGTTGGACATCACGCTGGGCGTGCACGGTGACGACTTTGTGGCCGAGGGGATCTCGGCGAAGCTGGACGTGCTCGACGCGCTGATGAAGGAGCACATCGAAATCAAGAAGCTGTGAACCGAGCAGCCGTCGGGACGAAGTACCTGGACGGCTCGAGGATCGAGGCCTTGCTGAAGCTCATGGGGGCTAGCGACAAGAGAGCGTACGGCTGGCCATGTGGGCGATTCCACGGCAGCTATGCTGAAGGTAGTCTTAGCATCAATGTGTGTGTGTGTGTGTGCGTGACGTAGCGGGGGGGGGGCACCCCAGCCACGGGAGACGGCCAATATGACGGCAACACGATTGGCATCGTCATGCCGCTGTTCCTGTTCATGCTGTGTGCGTGCTAGGAGCCACGGTAGCGGTGCGCTACCTCGCCAAGAGGCGCTCGAGGGAACGTCAGCCCGATACTGCGGGCGGCGAGGTAATGGAGGGCACCGACCACGGGCAATACGACAGCGCTCAGGGCGGACGAGAGCGGGACGCACCGCCTCCAGCCACATATCGCGCGCACGCTCAGGACGGACGAGAACGGGAAGCACCGCCTCCAACCTCGGCGAACGCGGACACGGAAGGGATCGGCAGCGGGAGGCACCGCGCCGACCAAGGAAGGACCTCGGCAGCGACGACAGGTCGCGTCGAGGATCGTGGAGTGCAAATATGATGAGCTCCACGGCGTACCACTCAATGGCGAGCAGATTGCCGTCAGGGACGAGCTGATGCGCTACAGGGTGGACGACCTGAGGGCGGCGCTGCGGGCGCGTGGCCTCAGCACGACTGGCCTGAAGGCGAAAATTGCCAACAGGATGGCGAGGATGGCGGCGAGGCCATCCAGGGCCAATCAGGGCCCGAGGCCGACCATCGACGAGCTGGTCGGGTCGGCGACTACGACATCGGCTGCGAGCGCCAGCACCTGAAGGTGCACAACGACCCCTGAGAGGCCGCTCCCAACGGGAAACTTCATGGGGGGCGCCGCGCCTCGCTCCGCAAAGACGCGGCGAGGAGGCGTGCCAGGGCTATGAAGATAGTTCAGGGATGTTGTGAGGGCGCAGGACCGCAGCCCTCGTGGATCAAAACGGATCGCGGCTCCAAGGGGGGTGCCGCGCAACAATATCTCTCCTTCTCCGTCTCGTTCTCCCCCCCCCCTCGTCCACATCCTTGTCCTCATCCTCCTCATCCTCCTGCTTGCAGTATGTGCTCATCAGTTGTTTCGAGAGCTCATCTAGGAGAGTCAACGCCGCCCAGCTGACTCTTTTGTTCACACCGCCTCTGCGGATTGTCGCTGGGCCACGGTCTGACCAAGCTACTGGACTGCGTTTCCTCCTCATTAGCATCATAATTTCCATGTTGTTTCCCTAATCCTCCTCCGCCTCACCCTTATCCCCAGTTCTTTCTCATCCTCTCTCTTCAACTCCTCCCAATCCATCCTCTCCCCCCCTCCTCCGTCTCTTCCTCCTGCTCGTCCTCGTCCTTCTCCTTCCTCCTCACTCCTCCCTCTCCCACCTTCCCAGCATATGTGGAAATAACTGGGAGGAGATAGGGGGATGGCTTTCGCGAGTAACTCTGGAAGTCACCCTCTTGAAGGCCTTCGGGGCCTTCACGATTTCTCTCCAGCGTTTCCACACTTCTCTGACATCTGCAACGCTACGCGGCGCCACGACAATTCCAAACCATGTTTGGAACGGCCGTCAACGCTCACAGACACACATATGCGCACATGCCAACACACACACAAACACACGCACGCACGCACGCACGCACGCACGCACACACACACACACACACACACACGCACACACACACACACACACACACACGCACACACACAAACACACACACAAACACACACATACACGCACACACGCACGCACGCACGCACGCACGCACGCACGCACGCACGCACGCACGCACGCACGCACACACACACACACATCGCGTTGGTGGCCCGAGTCGCACGCGTGTGTCGGATGCAGCGGACGGTGAATAAACCACCGAAGCCAGAGGAACACAGCAGGTCACGAGAGATACACCACGAGCTGAATCCGACGTAACATCGGCTGCCCCGAGCGCGAAAACACGAGCGGCGAAATACATTGGCCAAGGCAGCACGCCGAGAACCACCCCGCGGAGCGGCAGCCGCTGCTTAGGCTTCGGAACAACCTCACGCTCTCGTTGGGGCGTCGATGCCGTGTGGGCAGCGATACGGCGGGGTCAGGCAGAC